GAAAGAGAGCAAGATCAACTCTCCCAGTACCAGTGGTCCATTTAGTTGGGTCAACTGAAATGTGAAACCTCAGCCAGGGCATAGGATTCCTGTATGTTAGGCTTTTTATTTTCATCTTAACATCTGTGTTTGCTGTGTTTACAGACTGGCTGTTGACCACATCAGTTTCATTAGAGATGACAATGTTCCTTTCTTGCTGTGCAGTGGGAGCAGCCCAATGTCCTGTGCCTCGTGTATGATGTCACTAATGAGCAGTCTTTCAACAACTGTGCCAAATGGTTGGAGAAGCTGAGGGCTCAAGCAGTTGGAGTGCACGTCCCAGGTAAGAAATGGGTGTGACTCTTGTTCTCTACTCCCCTTGTGTATGACAGCAACTGTTCCCATTGTGGCATAAAGCATTTATTTTAACTCGGGGCAGACAGAGCTTCCTGCAACTCATTTGCTTTTCTCACAAAGCACACAGGGCATGAAGGTATTTCCTTTTTGGAACCTTTTCTAGGTAGTTGTAGACTTTTCTCCACACCTCCAGCTTTTTCAACTGCTTCTACAAATGCTTCAGCATCTACTGCTAACAAGTCAGCATCGAAGGGCGGGTTTTGTTCCTTTTCTTTCATGTCTCTTTTTTCTATAGGTGTCTTAGTGGGGAATAAAACAGACCTAGTTGATCGTCGAGTTGTGGAGCAGAAACAAGCACAGGAGTGGGCTGAGAATCATGGCCTGGAATACTGTGAGATGTCAGTGGTGAGTGTCTGCTCCTTTCATCATCTGTTGAAGTGGAAGTTTGTAATGTTATCTTCTCTTTCAGATGAAGAAAGATAACTGGGGGGTCCGTTCCCCTTGTTTGTCATCTAACTCAGTTTTAACCTTTCTTTTGTGAAGCAGTTAGAGCAGAAATAGTCCAATGTTTATTCCATCTGTCATTCACAACTTTCTTATTTCTTTACAGAAGGAGATGAAAAATTTTGAGGCCCCTTTCCACATCCTGGCAAAGTTGTTTCACCAACTGTACAAAGAGAAAGTGGAAACTTTTCACTCACTAGTGTGACTGGCATGACTTGCTCTCTAAGCTTCTTCTAGTGCCCAGAATCCTGCTGGATGGAATACAGAAAGAAGAAAAACGATGAGCTATTTGCTTCTTCATGGTCATCTTCTGGTAATTCAGAATAAACTAGAAATAAGCAAGTGGAAAGACACTCTTCTGAAGTTGCTACCTCAGCATTCCTTTCATGTCCTCTAACTTGGTTTTCTGCTCACTGAAAGCCTGCTAGGTTGGAGGAGGCGGGGAGTGAAAGGGGAGGGCAGAATGGAAATTGCCAGCTCTTTGCTTTGATATCTTCTTGTCTGAACAGACTTCCTGCTGCTACAGGCAAGGATTTAAAGGTTTGGAAAAGGAGAGAGGAAGCTGACAGGATTTTTTTCGACTTGAGCAACCCGACCTCGATCCAAATGTTGCAGGGCAGGACTGATTTGGCCCTACCCCTTGAAAAGCATTGTCAGGAGGAGGCCTGTGCCCTAAAGTCAGCACATGGGGACTGAGACTAGTGGGGACTGAGCTGAATTTAGGTGTGTTTCCAGGAGTGCCTAGGGTTTGAGGCCTGTTTTAACAGTGTTGCCCTTATCAGTTATGGGACTGATAGGCTGGTGACCAATACGTGTTTCTGGTTCCTACAATCTCTTTCTTTCCTCCGACGTGGCTCTGTAGGTGCTCGGCCGGAGCTGTCTCGGGTCCGTGCCGCCGTCGCTTGGTGACGCAGTGCCCTCTGCTGGTCCCAGGTCACAGCATTCCTCAGGAGGCTGCTGCCTCTCGATCCGAGCAGGAAGGACTCCCTACAGGCACATCCAAATTGGCTTCTCTGCAAAATGGGGTCAAACTACAAGAATACCTCTTCTGTTCTGAAGACGATTCCAAAACTCAGAACAAATCACCTTTTCTTCTTCATGTCTTCGTCATCTTATGCATTTTTGTGTCATTTTTGTCAGCTGAACTTAGCAATATCATTCTGATTAGGTTCAGTTCTCAATCCCTTATTAAAATCAGAGTCTTCTTTATTATTAAACTTCCCCTGCTAGTCATTGACTCGGATTAAAGACCACGGATCTGATGTTGCTAGTGGAAACAGGACTAAGGAAATGAAAGACAGCCTGGCTGAGATACTCTGACTCAGCTGTGTCTGGCTAGAAGTTTCATAGCAGAAAGGGTAAAAACCTAGAGAGAGCTGCTCTTTTGTGTGGAGTACTGATGTGGTGTCTATAAGTCTGTTTGCTAATGCAGTATGCAGAAGCATCCGTGGTAAGGTGCTGCCTTGTAACTGGGCCTAACAGCAGGAGTTTCAAAAATTTAACCATTGTCTGCTGCCAGATTATGGTAGACTCCCTTGGGCAAGGGGAGCTGAATTTGTAGAGAGTAAGCTCTGAGTAATTTTTCAGGCAGGCTTTTCAGGAATCTGTGTTTCAAGACTTTTATACGTGTGGCTTATAACCATTTTATGCCCAGTGCTAGGAAAAGTGCATTGGATTGAACATAAGAAATATGGCTGCAGATGTTGTAGCAGAGTTTATGAAACACTTCAAGAATCTGGAGAAGCAGCTGGGCTCATTGCACTGGCAACAGTGAAACAGTGTTGAAGCTGAGAATTAGCTGGGGAGCATGAATAGCAGCTAAAGAGGCTGAGTAGGAGCTCAACCTACAAGAAAAGAAAATTCTATTGCTAGAAGCCACCTCAAACATGACAGAACCAGCTGGGACTGCTCCTGTTTTCTCCAAAGAATGAAGGGCTCCTCCATGAGCAGAGGGTAACTAGAAGACTCACTCTTTTTTGAACTGGATTACCATTACTGGGATTCATATCTTAGATGAGTTGTCTTGTTGATCCTGGGAGGTGTCTGCTGATGCACAGGGGCTGAGTAGACTCTTACCTGCAGGTGCTGCTACCTCTGACTATTAAGAATAAAAGTTATTTTGGATGCTGTGCTGATCTAGTTCAAGAACTAAAGAAGGCTTGTTTTGATTTGGTAACTCCTTTCCCCCTGGTTCTATTGATGATGTGATTACAACACAAGACACATGATCTTTTTCCCCTTGAAAATAACATGCCAGGTCTGTAATCCAGCTGTGATATGGTGTATATAGAGGGGATGGATGCCTTGGGAATGGGTAATAAAATGAATCCTGTACAGTCTTTAACCAGGGAGTCCATCTCTGCACCACAAGGGCCTCCCATAACTTCCAATAAACACTCTAAATGCAGCAGTAAGATGAAGGTCGGTGAATGCTGTTTTATTAAATGCATGCAAAAGCTGGAGGATCTTATTAAGGGAATGCTTGCAGTGGTGATTTGTGATTTATAGGGAAGCTGCTTTTGAGAGGTTAGTGAAGAAAAATGCATCCCATGCAGGGGAAGATATATTGCCTGGGAGAGGAAATGTATGATCTAATTAGCCAGCAGTGGGGATTCACCCACTGCCCCTTTCCCTCTTCCACAGGCCGTAAGTACTGTTAGAAAAGGTGTGATCAAAGCATGTTGCCTAACTTGCTCTTTACAGGCCTGTTCCAGGCACTAATGTAGACACAATTTAATGTCCTTCAAAATGGTATGTTTGACAATAACCATCCCAACCCTTTCAAATGCATTTTAAAAGCAAAATATATTGTCCTTCCTGGCTATATATGCTATATAGTACCAGCATGGTGCAGGTGGTGCTTGTTGATATTTTCCTAGCTTATTTGTGACCTTGGTTGTAGAGGCTAGTAGTGAGGAGTGGGTAGAGCACATGGGAGCCAGACATGGGAAGGCTGTGGAAAACAGCTTTGTGCCTGTGTGAAAGAGTTTAGGGTGGTGAGTATGTGAGCTGGGCAGGCAGGATGAGTAAGAGCCTGAAGTAAGTTTCTTTTACCGCATTCACCATCAGCTGGGCAGGCAGGATGAGTAAGAGCCTGAAGTAAGTTTCTTTTACTGCATTCACCAGCTGTTGCAATCATGTCGGTAGGGTGAGGGAGTGTGTTTGCTGCCTATGGCCTGGGCATCAGTTTGAATTACAGATGCTGTGGGGAACAGTGGCAGGAAGACAGAAAGCCTGTGCTGACCAGGAAGCTTCTCACAGCTCCCCTGCTTTGTCCAGCTGTGCAGTGCTGCAGGTGCTCAGCATGAGTGTTTACAACCCAGAAAAGACCCAACTCGACCAAACCTGAAATTTCTAAAGAAGGGGGAGGAAACAAACAGGCCTTCATCTGTTCTTAATAGATATGTAGTCCTTTTTCCTGCTTGCTTATTTGATTAGACAAAACCATTTTTTTCCTCCTTGGAGTCCCTTATTCTCAGCTTTCCTTTGGTCCTCCTGATTCTGCACAGAACCCCTGTTATACTTGTACCCTGCTTTACTTAGCTTGATACATCACCAGCTGATTTTTTTTAGCCTTCTAATTTCTGCATTTTTTTATTCCCAAGGCTGCAAGACATTTCTTCTTAGAGAGATTAATAGACAAAAGAAAACAAAAGTGGAATTTTTAGTCAAATTGTCTTGGAAGAAAAGCACCTTAAGAAGCTGTCTGACATCCTCAAATTTTACTGGAAATTTGTTTGTGTAAAGTTGTCATATTAAAGATGCTTTAATGGTTTTGTTTTGTCTTGCTAAACATAGTCTACTGTGGAGTGAAATGCAGGATGTAAAATTCCAGAAAGATCAGGGTTTATTGTGGGAGTTCATAGGAGTTTCAAAGCTGATCTTACTGTGATAAGATCTGTTCAGTCTTAACAATGGAGTGGTCACTGCTGTTCATAATAAAGCATTAAATATACTGAAATGGGTCTGTCAAAACAGTCTCTTCTAGAGATTTGTTCATTTTCGAGACTAAAAACTTAAGAAAGGACATCTTTTAGCAGACTGATCTGATAAATGACACCATTTGGACCAGGGTTATTTCTGATGTAACTTCAGTGACTTAAAGGGCTGGATTTAGTCTTTTATGCCAATTGACTCCCTTGGGTAAGCTTCATTTCTTTACCCACTATACATCTTGGACCGATCTGACCTGATAGCAAAAGACACATGATGTTGTTGAAAATGAAATACTGCCTTGGGGCAGAAGGATAAACTGTGTGGCCTCCTGAGGTCCTCCCAGCAATACTTTCTATAATTCTATTAGATTAAGTGGGAAAAGAAGTAGCGTGGAAAGCACAAAACAGGCTAAGTCATAAACTAGCAATTAAACTGGGAGCTGGGCTGGGCTGCAGCAGAAAATGTACAATCTATCCCAATTAAGAGCTGTATCTCAAGAGAAACCAGGAGCCTGACGCAGGTGCTGACAGCAGGGCAAACGCTGCATTTCTGTTCTGGAGGCAGCAACTGCTTTCTACTGGTGCTTACACAGATCTGTGGGGGTCCTAACCTCGCTCAAGGCTGTGCTCTGCTTTTAGTAATTACTGTATCTATGATGTTCAGGTGCAGTTCAAGGCAACTGCTTGTGGTTGTGGTCTCATCTGCCTGTACAAATCCAGCAGTGTGATGACAGGTGATCTGTTAGTAGCAGGAAGACATTCCTATTCTTGACACCTGCATGATGAAGCCCCTCTCTCCCCATGCATTCTCAGTCTTTTTCCTATCATATCTGCTCCTTGATAGAGGATATCTACCTCTGCTTGTTCTTAGTAATTTTTCCGTCTTGCAGATGGTATTCTGTAGAAGCTGGGGCTAAGGGACTTCTAGGACCTTCTGCAGCAGAGGTGGATCTGAGCAGCAGCTCTTCAAGGGCCATGTTGGCCCCTGCAACGTCTCTCCTGGCCTAAGGGCACATCATCCTTTTGCTTCTCGTGTCCTATTTCCTCCTCCTGCTGTCATCTTGCCTTGAGAACAGTGTCTTCTGTGCCAGTTGCCCTTGGCTCTGTTGACCCGGAACAACAAGGCTTGGGGGAGGGAGAAAGAAGAGAGCAACTCAGTCTTGAGTCTGTTCAAGGCTCTGTAGCTGTTGTGACTCCCTGTTGAAGTCACCTGAGAGATGGGGATGTTGCTCAGTCTAGAGTGTAATTTCTTGGCAGGAGACCACCAGCTGAGTCCTGGCAGCCTCTTCTTGGCTCTTCAGAGCTTGCTGCAGTGTAACTTCCACAGACACTGGCTGTTCTCATTCTGACTTGGAGTTTGGGGGGGGTTCTTTTAAGTCCTTGGGGGTCTTTTTCTTGTTCTTCTGTCATGGCTTCAC